CCCACTGCACCATTCTGTCCAGATCTTGCTTTCACATTGTTCACTTACTTCCAAAAGGCCTTATATATATTTGAAATTGTCCTCTTTCATCATTTAAGCACCATGTCCAATTACAGCTTTGCTGTAAGAATTCTAAAATCCTTTGACTACATCTTCACACTGCATTCATAGATTTCTTCCAGTCCATAACTTGATGTTTTTACCAGCATGTAACATTGTCTGTCTCTTGCCTGCTTCCTCACCAGTTTTTTTCCTCCTTAACAAATACCTTTTTAATTGTCCAATTGGTATTTCATTGAGTAATATTTCTTCAGTTCCAGTTTAAGCAAATATTCTTGTTCAGTATGTTTTTCTTTTATTTATTTAACTGCATTTGAAAAACATAAATTTTATCCTCAGATTGCTTATTCATTATCCACATTTCTCCACCAAATATTAATATCAAGAATATGTCTTTTAACCATGAAAAATATTTTTCTACAATACCGCACTGTTATAATGGTATCCAGTCAACCCTGGCATGCAAGACTACCCTGGCATGCAAGGCTTATGAGGAGGGATAAGAACATTGCGTTTAATTATAATGCACATACACAAGCTTTCTCTCTTCTCTCCCCCCCCCCCCCCCCCCCCCCACCCCCCCCCCCTTTTTTTTTCGCCACCTGCAACCCAGAATAATCAATACATAATTTACATCAACTGAGGTTGGTGACCACTGTGGAAACTATCCCATATTCGTGTATAGAGAGTAATATAAAGTTCAAGCCTTAGACTTAAAATCAATTTCTATATTATCTATGATTCCATTGACTGAAATGTTATCAGCCTATGGTCGTAAACATACCATGTCTTTAATGCGTGAAGCCATTTAATTGTTGTAACATTTGCAGCTCTAAATTCCTATAATCTCTGTTTTCCTCAAACGGAATGTTTAAAATCAACCAGTTTTGAGTTTCAAATAAATTATACATGATAAAAATGGAAGTTATCAAGTCATTTACACTCAGGGCTTATAGTGACCCTGGAATCCTTGAAAACACATTGAACTGTAGCTTGCCCTCTCCGGGTCTTCAAAGGCCTGGAAAAGTTCAGACAAAGAACTAAATCCCTTGAAATTAGCTGCCAGTAACCTTGAAATACAAGAAAACAAATCAGAAATGAAAAGACTGTTCCTAAGACCCATATGTTATACAGTCTTTATCACCACATCAAAGAACAAGGCTGAATTTTGTAGTAAAGCAACTCCCCAGCTCTTCCTAGCCATAGTGCCAATCTTATGTACCTGCAAACATGGAAACAAATGAAAGACATTTGTGGAGTACAGGAAAAATTGCCCTGTTCTTGATTAACTGTTTATTCTTTCTGAAAATATAAACCTAGCTAACAATATAAATATTGTGTTATATATCAATGCAGTTAAAAACTTTACATAGGATACTGATGACAATTTGAACTACAGAGAGCTCGTAGAAAACATTTAGAATGCACTCAATCGTACCATCCTTCACGTACTCCACTGTAATGATGGATTTTCACCTCGGATCTGCGAAAATGGGTGATTTACAATGTCTGTACTGAAGCCCACTTTTCAGCCTGGGCTAGTACTGACTGTTTCCTAAGTTAGAAGTGAGTACTCAGACACCAAAAAGAAAAAAAAAACGTTTTCTATTCACGATGGACATAAAGGGAGCTAATAAACAGCAGAGAGAGAGAGAGAGAGAGAGAGAGTAAAACGAAAAAAATCCTTGAGATAACTTTCAATTGGAGCTGAAGCACATGGCTAACTGTTGTGCTGTTTTATGCATTTTTATTAAAGACAGGGTTTTGTTTTCATCATTGGTCACCAATGGAAATAAGAAACAGGGGGACTAAAATAGTTGTAAAATGACACAAAATTTTAACCCTAAATTTTCATTGCTTTCATAGCATTATTTAAATAAAGAGTAAACACTTAAAACCCATTTTAACTGACTTTCTTGAAATAAAACAGATTTCTCATTACATTCTTTAGGATGAAGTTGATCACTGCTGTTAATCCGTTGGATAATGCAATTTTTGTTATGATAATATGGTTTGTATTTTCAGAATTGATTTGGGGTATAATTCACTAAAAGTTTTGCAGTGTAAAGAAGTAAAGATTAGTGATTGCTTTGGCTGATATTCTAATGTTGTTGAACTTTATGTTCTCCCATGGAAAAGAGGATGAAAGCGTCAGGAAGCTGTAGGCTGCGAGGTTGATATGACTCCCGGTCATTTGCCAGTGCAATTTGACCCTGGTGTGGAAATCCTAGTCTTGGCTATCTGGTGGTCATTACCTGGTATATAGCAGCAATAATTCTCTCTTCATTGTCTTTGTCATCCTTTACCATCTCCCACCTTGATCACAGCTGCTATTCTCATTCCTTGTTTCTTCAGAACTTAACACCTGACTGTTAATAAACATACCATTTGACATGTTTATGCACTGGAGATGATGCACAGCAAAAGCAAAGTGGAGTTTTTCATATTTTAATTGGTTTAATGTGTGGCGTAATCATTTCTGTTCAAAAGTCGGGGGTTGTAATGTCAAGTGATGTTGTTAAAGTATAGAATGTAATCAGTATGTGAAGCACAGGGCTAGAAACCATAAACAGTCCTCCTTTCATGCAAAAGTTCTGTAAAATTTTTTTGTTATATAGATACCATTTTGAATATTTTGCAGTTTTCTCTTTGTTAAAATCTTTTAAATTTACTGTCTGCTAGTATGATGTAAGGCAAGGGTGTAATCCATCCGTTTCTCTCTACAGTCATGTTGATTCATTTTAAATATTGATGCTTTGCTTTTGTTGTGCTATTGCCATCTCATTAGCTGAATACAAAATACAGCGGCACTGTAATTGTTTCACACATAATCAGCCTAGTTTTTCAAGACATGCTAACAAAGTTTCTTGACAGATATAGCTCTACAAGCCTGCTGTCCTAGCAGTTTTAATTATCTGAAATTTTGCTGTAGTAGGAACCACTTAAATGATAATTTTGATTCCTAATTGCACCTCTTTGTTCATGGTCTGAAGTGCGTGATCCATTTTTATAAGCTGTGACTAATGTTGAATTTTTGAAAAATGGGACGGCAACTCTCTGGTGCATTCTTTTGATGTTATGCATATGTGTGAAATCACTCTAATTAGTTCTAATGTAGATTATTATTGCTTGGAAAATTAATCTGCGAGGAAGCAGATTCTAGTTAAGCAAACACTTGAAAATGGCAACTGAAATACTCTAAGGATGATGTAAAAAAAAAAAATGTAGGGACAAGCGGGACATTATACATGGCTACATGGGACCACTAGTGTAGAATGGTTAAAGAAGATTGATATAAATTATAGGATGGGGATGTTTGTTGGATGGTAAATAAATACAGAAATCCATACTTGGGTTGAGTAAGGAAATAGCTGTAATAGTATTCACACACACATTCAAAAGAAATGATTTGTGATTGGCTGAGAGGAAATAATAGATCTTCTATAAATTCAGTGATTGATTATGTTGACTTTTGATTTTATATTTCACAAGTGTAAGCTGTATATGTGTATCTTTAGTAAAATTGTGTTATAGGTTTTTATATAATTTGAACTATAAATGTAACGAAGAAACAGGATTTGAAATAATTGATTAAATTTTTACAGCCACCAAGACAAGTTTAAACTTTATCAAATAATTTCAGTTCATTTTTGACTGAGAAATCATACAAATTTAGCTAGTTAATTGCTTAGTGCAATTGAACACTTGCAACATATCCATTGGATTTAGTTAGTGGGAGCTGCCAAGAGGAATCAGATTGGAGTATTACGGACTGCTTCATATAGATTTTGTTATCCAGTCTTTGGGGTGAGTCTTGATTGATGGAAGCAAACATGAGAAATGAAGAAAGACCTAGAGAAATTAGAAGCATAGAGACACCATATGTATAGAAAACCTGCATTAAAATGAACTAGTGTAATCTTTCAGTCAGAATATGAAATGGAAAAATGTGCACATATTGTGATGGTATACTTTTTAATAAAGCAGTGGCTAGACTAATATTAGCAAATCTTCCATTCATTTATGCTGCTAAATATGTCTCTGATTTATTTGTTTGACTCACTTTCATGTTAATTGAACTTAAAGCTTTCAATGTGGGTTCCAGGAGTTGGGGTGTTCACCCATTACCTCCTTAACAAGCAGGTCATGCAAGGAGACTAATTAGGGGTGTTTTCTTCAAAGTCGAAGAGCATATGCCTGAGAGGAGAGGAGCCATCAATCTGCACACACACAAGCCAGATCTATAAAATCGAGGAGCATGCACACACAAAAAGTTCTGGGACGAGGCCATAGTCCAAAATTGTACAAAAAACAAGAAGTTTCGACTAGCAATTTGCAACCGTTCAACACTAAGAAGTATAAGAACTGATGGGGAAACACAATGAGACTTATTTAGCAACAGTAACTAAGTTGTACATATTTACCAGCTATATAAATTTATTGGTTATTGTAATAATATAACTTGTTAATTTATACTTCAGGGTCTTTGTAAAGAATGTATTCCTCTATCAGTTTTTTGCAGTGATTCTTACAATTAATTGGCTAGTTATTTTAACTCATTCACTACCAAACAACTCGTATTTATTGTTTACTCCGTACATCGTTTTACATTAATTTAATCTATCCCGACTTATTTTAACTTGGGGGGGGGGGGGGGGGGGGGGGGTCGGTCCCCACTTTGATTATTATTGGAACTCGTTTTGACCCAACAACTTCTTGGTTTTGACCAATAGCTGATTTGGTACATTGAGTTAAAATAGCAGCCTGGCACTAAAAAAAGCTAAAGGATTAAACATTCAGCAGCAGGGAGTGTAGACGTGCCTGTTTTTTTTAATACACTTGACTTGTTTTGCAGCTGCCTAATTATCCCAGTTTATGTTGATCTCCACAGTTTTCTGACAGATGTTTTGTAAATTCATTGTAAACCGGTCTTGTTTCAGCTGAAGTCTGACTTCTTGAAGCTGCTAAGGGAGGTGTCGGGCATTGACCGCAACTCTCGCTGGAGTGAAGTCAAGAAAAAGATCAGCTCTGATCCACGCTATGAAGCCGTGGACAGTAGTTCTCGCAGGGAAGATTGGTTCAAAGATTACATTAAGAATTTGGATGAGGTTTGTACATTTCTATTCTCTAAAACCCATTCAGATTTATTTTTAAATTTATAAATATTTTTTTGGGAGGTTATGTGGAGTAGAAATTGAATTTACTTTTATTTTCTTTTTATTGCTGTTGATTTTGAGTTTTAGTAGCATGGATGCTGTGAAAGCACAGTCACACTTCTGTAACTGTTCCTATAGTATTAACAATTATAGAGCCTGTAAGTCTGCAGGACTGATGAACTTGTTATTGTGTGTTCTCGTTTGAGAACAGTTTTTTTTTTGTGTGTGTGTGTGTGTGCGTTATTCTTACTCTTCATATTGAACATGGATCATATGCGAACGTTTCTTTTAATGCCGTTCTTGTGGTGCCTAATCACATTTGAACCGTTCTAAAACAAGACATTTAATTTTTAAAACAAAGCTTGGACAGGCCTTTTATGCTCTTTGATTTTGTTTTGTTTTGTTTACCGTTGACATACCATTCTCTGTTTGTTACATCATTCTTGCAACATTCTCTGCAAAAGTTACAAAATACATTGAAGCTTGTTGCGACAGGAATGCTGGAAAAGCAAACAGTCTCGCTTCTGTAACTGATCCTACAGGATTAATAACAAGTACAAAGTCGTTAATTCTGCAGGATTGATTTCCATGTTGTTATGTGCATTCTTTTCAGTTTACTCATCATGCTGCAGTCAACTTTACCATTATGGTAGCATCCCATTTTACAGATGAGATACTTCTTTCTCCATCTTTAAAAGAACGCTTGGCCTGTGTTGATTGTTTACAGCTAGGCTGCCATATCAGGCGCCCCCACCCCCACCAGACGCATCCAGTTTCAGCAAATCTGCACTTAGTTGTGTTCTTGTGACTTTGTTTATCCCAGTTTTGAGCCCTACAACCCACAATTGGATATAAATGGCTGCCTTTATGTCCAAATAATGTGGATCGAAGGAGCTTATCTTTCTACTTTAGGTATAATGTGTTAGCAACATAGATAGATATTTCCATCAATCCTTGCATGCCACAGAGCAGGGCTATTCAGCTAACTTTTCTCAGGGACTAAATTTTTAAAATGAGGATCATCACAAGCCAGAGGCTTACAGTTGGCAATGATCCACAGATCACCTGGTAGGCCTCTGCAGGCTGAAAGTTAAATAGCCATGCTGTAGAGCTTTAAAGTGCTGTTAAAATATAATAATACTCTTTTTTAGGAAGAGGTTGCTTTTAGAGTTCTACCATTATTTTGTTCAAAGAAAGCCATGCATGATTCCAGTTTCTGTTTTCAGCTTTGTTTGTTTCAACAGTCAAACATGCCTTTCATTTATCTTTGTGCAGTACTACTTTATCAGTGTTACAAATTGTGAACCATATCTTCTTAAGTACTGTTTATTTTGAGCATTGATCTCTCTGTGTGGGTTCCGGGGCTCCAATGTTGGGAAAACAACACTAGGACCCCCTCTCCCAAGCATATCTTAAAGAGTTAACTAGTTAGTGGCTTCCTTTGAAGTTGGAGTGAATCTGCCGGATAGGCAAGGAACCAAGTCAGCATACAAATAAGTTAGATCTGTAAAACAGATGTGCACACAGCACTCAGGTTCTAGAACAAGCCGGAAGTCCAAAGGTGGATGAGCAATCAGAATTTCCTGCTGAGGTTTACAGCCACGAACACAAAGCTGAAGAGCACATTGATTGTGTGTGGTGTTTCCTGCTGAGGTTTACAGCCACGAACACAAAGCAGAAGAGCACATTGATTGTGTGTGGTGTTTCCATTCTTGGGATGTCCAATCACATTTGAACTGTTTTTTAAACAAAACATTTAATTTCGAAAGCAAAATTCATTCCTTTTCAGCTCTTTGATTTTCTTTGTCTGTACTGTTGACCACCGTTTTCTTTTTGTTCCATCCTTTGTTCCATAATTCTTTACAAAATTTACGTAATGCGTTGAATCTTTTTGTGCTGATGTGAGAATACTTTGTGGTGATCTGATGAATGCTCATACTCTCTGTAGCTGCAGTCTTGCTTGCTAGGTAAATGGGTATTTTTTTTTTTTAAGCAGTTTCCCCCCACTGTAAATGTCAACTCAAAAGAAACAGATTATATAGTTTAATGTCTGGCATAAACCCGCTGTACCTCGTGTCTGATAAGATACAGCAAAATATGTCAGGCAATAAATAGTACAATCTGTCCTTATTTCTTCTTTGTTTACATTCATTTTCTTTTTCTTTTGTAGGTGTACTTCTTTTTGGAACTATCGGGTTTTAGCGTTTTAATATATTGTAGTTTGTGCATTCTTGGAGAATTTGCAGTACATATCTGGCCTAATATGGCAAAAGGGTCGGTCAAACAAAAATGTGGATATACGGGAGTTCTATAAATCTCAGTTTTGACCTCTTAGAACAGTACTTTATAAATGTTTCTTATGCACATTTTAAATATTTATTACATAAAATCAAAGTTCAATAAAAAGTTTTACATTTTAAGATAGTTTATAAGGTCTAATTAACTGCAGGAAAAATAAAGTCATGTACACCATATAGCATGAATACACACATTTAAAATTAACAAAACACTAACCTAAAACTAGGCTTACTTACAAATTTTGACATTTTTTTTCGTTACTTTTGATAGTAATTATACAAATAAAAACAGGTCAGAAAAAAAGAGTCAAAACTTACACTATTTTTAATAGATGACTGCTTCACTCATTTTGCCACCTTCCATCGCCATAACCAAGAACATTTAAAATTCAAACGTAAAAATAGGGTGGATAATACAGAGTTTGGATAATGAAAGTTCTACTTTACTTTGATGTTTTGGCTATTCCCCGAATAACGGTGGTAAAATATCGGGGCAGAAAATGTACCCTAACAGGGCCTCAGTCACGTGTCAGTTGCTCACTTCTGGGGACTATAACGCCACCGCCGAATTGGGAACTTTCGGCAACCTCCGCCACCGCCGAGAGTGTCCCCCATGCTGCTTATGCAGCGTGGATTGGGGCTAAACTAGATGGCTAGGACTCACGAGCAAATAAAATGAAGAAAGCTGCAAGAGACGCGGTAGCTGCTGCTCGTGAGTCCTAGCCATCTAGTTTAGCCCCAATCCACACTGCGCGAGCGGCATGGTTGACATTCGTGGTGGAGGTTGCCGGAAGCTCGCATTTCAAGACGACGGAACTGCGCAGTTGACACGTGACTGAGGCCCTGTTAGGGTATATTTTCCGCCCCGATAATATACGACCGTTATTCGGAGGACCGATGTTTTTGTGTTTGACTCACATGTACAGTGTGAGTCACAGTCTTTGAGCTATGAGCATATGGCTGCCTGGTGTACTTGAAAAAATATTATGTTGCTGTTGAAGATGGTAGACGTCCTGTAAAGATAAGTGTGGCATTCTCTGTTCTGTCATGGTTTGCTTCTTGGGGATAAGTATAACAACCTTTGCTGTCTTCCATTGGGCAGTCTTGCATCTCCTTCTAAACATGTTTTCCAATTCAGCCAAATTCTGAAGATGAAGAACGGAGGGAGAGAGAAAGACAAGAGAGGATTGAAGCCAGCATAAAGAAACGTGAGGAAGAAGTTAAACAGTCACTGTCTTCATCTCTGAGAGAAAGAGACAAGGAAAGAGAACAGCACAAAAAAGATGAGGCGATCCAGCACTTCAATGCTTTGCTGGCTGACTTGGTAAGCCTGCTTGTTGAATGCTACAGTGTCATATTATAGACAACAGACCAGCCAGTCTGATGCATAATTTGTGCTAGTTTTATGGCTGTGTATTTTACACATGCATATATCATCATCATGTAGCAGGTCCTTTACATAATGTCCCTCTCATCACGGTCAGCCTGAAAGAAACCAGTCTCTCGCCAGCTCTCCTGCCTCGTGTACTTTCAATCTCAAGGAGTCACTTATATCCTCTGCCTATCTTCGTGTCAGTTGGCCCCTTGCCCCTCCTTCCTGGTACACACCTTCTGTTAAAATTTTTTCAAATCCGTTGTGGTGCTTGATATGACCAAAATATTTCAGCTTCCGAGACAGGATGCTGTTTAGTAGCAAATCTTCCTTGATGTTCAGATCTTTCAAGATGTCAGTATTTCTCCTCTTCTTGTACATGCATATGTACAGATGCACATATCTTACAGGTAGAGACTCTTAACACTAAGTGTAATTGTCTGTGATAATATATGTTTATTTGAGTTCTTATTCTCCTATTTACTCGCTGTGAGCTCTGGCAAAAGTCCTGGTTGTTCATCCACAACCGGGCTAAAGTCTTGTTCCAGGGCTTGAGTATTGCATATACATCTGTTTTACACATCTCGCTTGTTTGTGTGCAGACTGTCGGTTCCTTGGCTCGGGCAGATGTGCTGGGATTTTTAAAGAAATTTCAATCTTATCTACCTTGGCTGGGCAACCAATAGAGAATCTGTTTCTAGGATGACCATGGAGAGGTGTAGATAGGTCCTGGCACACCACCACCGTGTGTGGAACAGCACCTCTGCATCACTATTAGAGTACACCTGCCTCATAATGCATCCTCTCCGAATGTCGTAAGAGGTGACTAAGAGTTGTTGGACGTGGGGCCCAGCAACCCCACACTACAAACAAAGATACCCGCTACAGAAACAGAGAGGATCATAAATATAAATAGTGGCAACAGTTTTTCTTTGCCTTTTGTGGCTCTGGGCGCGATGAGGATTGATTGATTGAAAGATTTAACGTTTTTGTAAACATACTGGAGAGAACATTTGGAAAAAAGAGGTGGTCAGCGATACAAATGGCAGAAATGTCAAAAGATGGACAGGCAGGAGGAGTCTCAGTGTGTACAGTCAAAATGAGAGGGTGTTGTTGATCTATTATAGCCAGCATTCATGAGGGAATCGTACCTGACTCAGTAATCTATTGAATGTACTACAAAAGCACATTCACAATTTCTATAATGTAAATTATAATAAAATTTAAATTAAAAGATGTCTGCCACTTGCGTATTCAATATACAGTTATCTTGCTTGTCTAATATCTTATCACTTATTTACTTCTTTATTTACCTCTGTGTATAATGATCAGTTTTAGCATAACTTTGAAATATAAGTTAGAAATATTTATTGCAGGTCAGAAACTCAGAGGTTACCTGGCGAGATACTAGAAAACAGCTGAGAAAAGATCATCGGTGGGAGCTAACAGATTCTCTGGAGAGAGAAGAGAAAGAAAGGTTGTTTGAGTCTCACATTGAGGGACTTTACAAGAGAAACCGTGGAATGTTCCATGCACTGTTGAATGAAACTGAGGTACATCATAATGTTAGCATTCTTGTTTACAGAGTACACATTCATATGTATTGTGTATCACATTAAGAAATAGTTAGAATTTCTCTGTAAAATCTCTACGTTTTTGTTGTTGCTTGTTTTCCTGTTGTCCAGCATTCACAATTATAATATTATAAATTAAAAATAGTTGTGTGTGGAATTCAGAAATTCTTTTTTTTTTCACTTGTGACTAGATTGATTTATGTTCTCCACTTTATAAACTGCCATTTTTGCTCATACTGCACATCAAAAAATTATAATTTGTTAAGTACTCGCTGTATATTGTCCCGCAAAGCTCTGAAATATGTATTAGAACAGAGGAAGGAATTTTTAAAGTCTTTAAAAAAAAAAGAGCAAAGAATGAGTAATAAAAGAAAACATTTATGAAATAGACTTGCACACATTTTTGTTGATGTACCAGGAAATAAAGATAATGGCATTGAATTATGCACCTACAGAATGAACTAGGACAGTGTTTCCCAAACTTATCTTAGTCGCAGCGCCTTATTTCAGTTAAAACATTTTCCATGTTGCCTAACTTAAGTTGAAGTATGATGCTTCATATGTAAGAGATACCCAAAAAAAAAAACATGTATTTCCGAATAGTGCCCCTGTAAAGAGACCGCGGCTCCCCGGGGTGCCGCAGAGCGCAGTTTGGGAATCACTGAACCTAAAGGTAATTTCCATAATTAGTTTCAGGTGCCACTGCCTAATGATGTGGAATTATTTTTTTTTTTTGTTTTAAACATTGAAAGCTTGCAGTCCAAAATTTCTTGAAAATATTAATTATATCTTAAAAATTTTTTTTTTTTACCTACTAACAATTGTAGGAAAATTGTATTATTTGTATTTACCCCCCCCCCCCCCCCCCCCCCCCCCCCCCCCCCCAGCCCCCCCCCCCCCCCCCCCCCCCCCCCCCCATGTGCGATGGCATACTTTGAGCAGCCTCCACCCCCTTTTTCCTGCATATTGCTACATGTGCAAAAGCAAGGTCATTGTGTTTATCTACATTAAAAGCTATAAATTAATATTTGTATCCTTTTTTTTTTAAATACTACAAAAGATGTGAGATAAAAAGTGTTAAAAAGACACTAGTAGGTAAGAAAAGAAATTACTGCAGGAACCCTTCAGCATATGGTGCTAGACCTATATCTTTTTACATGGCATTCAGTGATAATGTCAACATCACACCTGCTGCCTTTCCTTTCCAGGATATTAGCTGGTACCTGTTTTAGGCTGGGTCAACCTGGGAGAAAGACACTGGTGCTGGCTAATAATTCAGAAAACCTGATAATAGTATATCTAACATGTTCTTACACTGGAAACCACAGGGTCAGTGAAATACATGATCATCATCATGTGCCCTGCCAACTGGCGTAGGCGCTCATGCGTCTCCACAAATCACAATCCCTGGTTGCCTGGGACAGCTCTCTTGATAGTGAAATACAAGAAGATAAAAATATGGACATTATTAGAGACCGTTGAATGAGATGGCTAAACAAGGATTAAGGGAACTGCATGAGATGGCAAAGGCTAAAGGCTTGGCTTAAGTTTGGAATTCTTATTGCTCCATCAGGGAATAAAGGACAGAAATAACCGTTGTGATCAGTATGTAGGGTTCAAGATGTTAAGTTTGAAACAGTGCAGAATAGCCAGGTTATTATCACATTCAGATGAAACAGGTTATAGTATGTGTGGGTGTGTGTATATGTATATATACAATTTTCAACATGTTATTTATATACACTATTTATAAAGAGGATTATTATTTTAAAACGTACATGTTGATGTCTACAGATTTCACTGACGTCAACATGGAAAGAAGTTAAAAAACTGATCAGAGAAGATCCACGTTACAGCAAGTTTTCATCCAGTGACAGAGTAAGGCATAATTATTATAGATATTATTTAACAGTTCAAAAATGGTTTGTGAAGGATACATTTTATTTCTCAGGTCATCTTTGACGATCATGTCACCAAAGATGTAATGGTACAAACACACAAAAGCAACAGGGAAATGAGATATAAGCTGCAAGGTGATGCATTATTATGCATTACAAGCAAAATGCAAGAGTATTGTGCTTTTACTTATTTTTGCTAGATATAAATCCTGCCTGAGTCACAGCCAAGGGAAATAATTGATTGCTGACATCAGAAGGAGACAATTTACATTCTTTCATCATGTCATGGGGAGGAAAAATACCAGAATACCTTATGACGGTGGGAAAGTTGTAGAAGAAAGTGGCAGAGGGAGACAGAGAGAGAAGATAATGGACAGTCTGACATCCTGACATAGAAGATCATCTGTGTCAGAAATTATTGAAAGTATATGAGGCAGAAGGTTGTAGCTAGAAATAACACCAATGCTACGTGGCATGGATTTTAAAAAGAAGGCTAGGTTGAATTGGGAGCACAGCCAATTATTAAAAATCCACTTTAATGATACAGAGGAATAGGTTGAAAGACGAGATTGCTCTCTATGCAAAGCCTTCGTCTTCCATTAACTACAGAATGCATTTAAAGTTACATGTATTGACTCCCCATAAATGGCTTTCATATGTTTGACTGAGAAACTCACTGCAGAATATACTGACTAGTGCATACTTTTTACAACTCTACATTTTCATGGTGGTGGAAGGGGGGTGTGCCATGTGACTTAATGCACACATTTTTCGTGTTAATGGTATTTATGTTAAGGATTGCCTGGCTGAGCAGTTAGTAATGCTGGGTCCTCATGTGGGAGACTCAGATTGGAATCCTTTTTTAAGCTGAATTTGTTCTTTTCGGGGTAAAACTGCACTAGCCATGCGGATCTAAATCACTGTCCGGCGCGGCCCTAAAATGCGGTAAATACATTCAGGAAAGAATTTATTTTTGTAAATTTGTTAAACAAATTAATGATTGTTTTTTTTTTAATTCTTTCACATAGAAACGAGAAAAGGAGTTCACAGACTACATGCATGAGAAATTTGTGAACGCAAAGGCAGATTTTCGTGAACTTTTGAGGGAAACAAAAGTGATAACATACAAGTAAGTAAAAAATGTTAAAAAAATAGTTAATATAGAGGTATGTGATTAGATTTTTAATAATATTATTTTTGATGTAGATTGCTTTTAGATATGTTTGAAGATATTCAGAAAAAGGAAATGTCACATACCATGTTTAAAAAAATTTATTATTACAGTTTGAGTTAATCAGAGCTATGTGCTTATTTTCCATATTTATTAATTTGGATTAAATTCTCTGTTTAGGACCAAGAAAATTGTTGAAGAGAATGAAGGCCATTTAGATGACATTGAGAAAATGCTGGAGGTGAGTGTGTGTTCATTGTACAGAAAAGCTTTAATTATTTTGCTGTATTTTATAGAAAGATCCTGCCGGAACCAGTCTTTTTCTTTTCAGAATTGACTCTGGTTCCCAGGTCGACCCTGCCTTACACAGGTACCCCGAAAGGTCCTGAGAAGTAAAGGTGGCCTGCTTGGTGTTGACCACATACCAACCCACCAACTGATCTATAAAATATAGGTCTGGCCCTATATGCTAAATACGCCTAAAGGTGGGGAAAAGGGTCCTTTTACTATAAAAAAAACACAGACATATTATGAGGATCATATGTCCTGTCTGACTGGGTAGGATATTTTTTCTCTGCAAATCTCAGTCCTTTATTATTTGAATCTGTTCTGTTGATGATATTCCTCTATCACACCACACTAGACTATCCAGCAATTGCTGTCAGTCTGCCTCATCTTGTCACATAACTTTCTATTTGTCATAATGTTCTCAGCTGTGGCCACCCTTCTCATCTCTCTTGCCTGCCAGCTCAGCAGTTATGTAAATCAAATCTTCCTTAAGGCTTTGACCTAAAACAAATTGACCCTTGGCTCGGAGATTCACCCAGCCTAAAATGGGGCTTTCTGTTGTTAAGGTTGGTTAACATGACATCATAATCCACAGGAACACATTGATCTTGTAATGATAGTTTCAAGATGATCACCCTACTTTTGACATTCACCAAAGAGGAGCAGCGGTTTTTTTTTTAATAAATCAGTGAAAGGATGAAACCTATAGAAATGCATCGGCGGTGTGTAACACATAACCTCCAAGATGTGTGTATCATCTTTCATATAAAAATATTTATTTACTTATTAGAAAAAGACCTTGGTATGAATTTTGAAAAATTTGTTATTATTTACAGAATGACAAGCGGTATTTAATTCTCGATTGTGTTCCTGATGAGCGTCGCAAGATTCTCATCTCCTATGTTGATGAACTGGATCAGAAAGGGCCACCACCGCCACCAACTGCATCAGCTCCTTCTCACAGAGGTCTTAAGTGAATCAAGATGTTTACCTTTTCTTTCTGACTCCTTTTTTTTTTTTTGGTTGAAAGTGTATTAAGGCTTTCAGCAGCATAGCATTTCATAAATTTCCGTGCTTTCTAGTATTGTTATCATATTACATAAACAGGACACTTCAGTTGATCTGTCAGTATGATTCAGTTTTTGAAATTGCTGCTTTGGATTTTTCTGGGGTTATTTTTTTTCCAGTTTATGATTATAGATTTATAAAAATTGTATGAAATATTTACTTGTTTTTTTTAATGTGAAAAACTTAATTAAACCTAATAATAAAGTTAGGGATATGTCTCTTCACTTTGGATAATTTTATACAAGTAGCAGATGAAATGAAATTAACTGAAGCTGAATAAGCACTCTAGAAATGTTTTTAAATATACTTTTATTAAGGTCGTAGAGAAATAGATTTTAAAGAATGGGTAGCAGTTTGCAGGCACTGTTAGTCTTCAGTTACCATGTTAGTGTATCACTTGTAGTTTAATAAAATGAAGAAGCCTCTTGTAAGGTTTAAATAATGTGGTGCACGAGTAGTCATAGTGTCATAGATGATAAGATTTCAGGATAGTGATTACATTAGTTCTCAAACCTGTTTTATTGCAGAGCTGTAAACTAGTGCAGTTTATAGGTAGGAGTTTCTTGTTTAATTGTTTTTGTTTTGTTTTTTTACACGTGGCTCATAACATGCAAGTCACATGTTAAGAAAAATAATAAAATGTGGGAAAAAAATTGAGTTTGATTTCTCTCTGTTCACAAATAGTTTGACTATATTATGTTATTAGATTGTGATTTAATATAAACTAAAACTACCAGTTATCTAGCTAATAAATGAGAAGTGGCCAAGCAGATTGCCCGAATGTGGGTTTGTTTCATAGATGCACTGTCTACTTCACAGGTGCAATTTTTATGGTGATCCTTGGGGTTCGTTGCTAGAGCTAGAGTACGTGTTCCACACAATGCTCTTGGCAGGTGTCTAGCCATTCTGCAGGGAGAAACCAAGCCATATGGGATAAAACCCGGCTCAGTTTAATTTAACACTTGTTCAATTTTTGCAACTGTTAAAATAGCCTGAATGATTTGTGAGAGCTTTAAGACAAGCCAAAACAAATGATGAAGTAAACATTACTAGAGAGTAATCTACCAAGGCTCAACTTTTATTTAATAGAATGTCTAGTTTTCTACCTTTCTCTGCTCTGGCAAAATACTCAACTATTAAATATGTCATGGACATTGCTCTCTACTGCTGATAGAATTATGTGAAATAGAAATTGTGAGAGTAGGTTTTGGAGGCAGATTCTGCCAGAGTAACTCAGGAAAACAAAGACAATGTAATGAGTGTAAGGCATACCCAGTCAAAAAAACAATAAAAACTAGTTCTGCAATATCCTGCAAACAGTTGAAAATCATCCAACATTTTTGACAGAGAAACCTTAAAGATCGACAGACCACTTTTAGTGTCAGTTCAGTGTCAAGAGGCAAAAGAAGTGCTTGGAGCTTCTTAGCAAAAGTTAATGGTCGACATTTGGTGCAGGAGAGCCTAGCATATGATACCACAACATACAGCTTAAGAATGGAGGTGGAGGCGGTCACTGCAGCTTTCCGCTGGCTAGAGAAAATGACACACACACACACATATCGTGATTGTAACTGACTCAGAAAGCATGCTGAGGAAGATCAGAACAGGTATGCTTCGTGCAGAGTGGCATGCTTCGCTGCGAAGGACACGGGTGAGTAGTATTGTCAGGATATATAAATATATATATAATCATCATCATGATGTAGCAGGTCCTTTACAGAACGTCGCTCTCATCACAGTCTGCCTGGAAGAACTCTCACCAGTTCTCCCACCTCACAGCTGCATTGAACATTTGTTTTGTTTTAACATCACCAATCAGCAGGTTCTTTACAGAACATCACTCTTGTCACGGCACGACTGAAAGTCTCTCTTTCTCCAACCAATTCTTCAGCCCTATGTGCTTTCACAGTCAATACATCCTCAGTGCCTTGTTTCCATTTTCATGTAAGGCGGCCTTTGTCTCATCTTACGGAAACGACACTTCTAGTCCAACCAAGGCCACCATGAAGTTTTAGATTGCCAAAATACTCAATACCTAGTGTCACGACAGGAGAACTGAGATTAGACACTTCAGACGCTGGTATCCATTCCTCTTCTTCTTCTTCTTCACTTCCTCTTTTACCGCTGTGGGTGTCGAGGGAGATATAAGGTTCTGTTTCTAGCTCTTCTGGCTGTCTCGACCATAGGCACATCGTGCTGTTGTAGAGTTTCTCTGATGTTATCCTTCCATCTTGTTCTTGGTCTACCCCATGCTCTACGTCCTTCTTCTCTTCCCATGTATGCTTTGTATGGTATATGGTGTCACAAGGCATTCTCTCTAAGTGGGCAAACCATTTCACTTGCTGTCTTTGTATGTAATCCAGAATTGGTTCTGTGCCGACTTGTTCTCTTATGATCTCATTTCTGATCTTATCTCTTATGGTCACTCCTACAGCCCTTCTCAGACATCTCATTTCCGTGGTTACTAATTTTATTTTATGGTTTGTTGTGAGTGACCATGTCTGGCACTGGTAGCACAGAGTTGGAATAAATATGCTTTGAATAAGATATCTCTTAGTGCTGATTGAGATTGTCTTATGCTGTAAGAGGGGGGCTAGCTGTCCCAATACTTGGTTTGCTTTACTGCATCTAATGTCAATTTCTTTATCCAATTTCCCATCTTCGGTAAATGTAGTTTCCAGATATTTAAACTCAGATGCCTGTTTAATGCCTTTGTATTCTATTGTTATGTTTAGATCTGTCTTCTTTTTTCCTATTGACATTACTTCTGTCTTTTCAGTGTTGATTCTCATATTATTTGTTTTACATTCTTCATTCATGGATGTTAGATGTTGTTGCAATTTCATGGCTGTATTCCTCAACTGGATGATATCCTCAAGGCTGGAGACCTGCATAATGTCACTCTCCGCCCTACCCAGCCATGATTTGCCCCTTTTAAGTCTATTGCCTTTCTCCCTGAAGAGTGTGTGGTGATCTTGATCCTGTAGTTCATGGTAGGGAAGTCAAGAAGGTACCTTATTGCTACACAAAATGTGTCTTCAATGCATCCCAAAATAATGCGCATTGCTTCGTTTTGCACCTTCTCAAGTCTTTCAGTATGAGCATGGTTGACAGTGAGAATGGCTAGAACATATTCGATGGGAGAAAGTACAAGTCAATGGAACATAAGCAGAAGCAGTCTCTGCTCAGTATTAGCGGTGGCCAGAACCCACCCTCATTGCGGACAGGCCTTTGCGTGCTTCCTTTATAATATAGTGAACCCGTTCTTTGAAGGTCATGCTGCGATCAAACCCCACTCAGAGGTATGTCATCAGATTTGTACTCGTCAAAATTTTCTCGTTACTTTCCGCTGCTAGTAAGTCGGCCTTTTCTATATATGAGTGTTCAAGGAGAACCACGTTACTGAGGCCTTCGAATGATTGTTCAACGTTCTAATACTAACCTTTGCTATTTAATTTGCTGTGGGGAAAAAGATGGGGACGACATATGGAGAGCTGCGTGCGATTGCGAAGGATAGAACTACTTGGCGTGAGTTGGTTGAAGGCTTATGCCCCATTGGCATTAAAAAAGCAGAAGAAGAAGAATCGAATGTTACTGTGTTTCATTTAAACAATAACATTACATTTTCAAGCTTCAGCGTGTATTATTAAGGAAATATATGCTTACTATATTGCAATACAAAGGAAGAAAGATTGAAACATACTCCCCGGAAGCAGCGACGTCATCGCTCATCTCAAACGAAGGAAGGACGTATTCCTAAAGATATACTGAACCAACCACAAGGAAAAGGCCAACCGGAAGATCTCAAGAGGGGTATAAGAATATCTGTAAACAATTCAAACTCTTTTCATAGATATAGAAAAATGGAAGACAGTTGCAGCAGATATCAATATTCATAGACAAGAGATGTGAGAAACAAACTGGTGCCTTTTGAGCGTAATCTAATCCAACAAGCTGAGGACAAGAGGTACACCTGTAAAATGCAGTCACTTGCTGCGGCGCCTGCCTCATCATAAAGATTTGGAAATTATGATAGACTGTCACTCTCTACTCGGACTATATAGTCACCAGCGGCGCTGTCAGACACTTGACCAGCCGCATAACTATTTAGTCCAATAGGACTGATAGAGGCCTACCACCACAACCACCAACACTACTGTTACTACCACACACACACACACCTACATACACACACACATAGTGTGTACATGTGTACGCCCGCCCCTCCGACATAATGCAGTTGTTCATAAGCTGTTGTATTTATTTATATAAAATGTTAGCGTAATTGTTTATGGCTGAGGTGAGTGTAATAATGTCTTTATATCTATAACAGGGGAACAATAGAAGAGGTAATGTTCGATAGTCCTATAAACATAATTACAAATCATACACTATAATAATTTCTGGCTGTGATGATGTGTTCTGTTTACAGGACTGTTAACTGTATCTAAAAATTGTGCTCTGCCCTTTTCCCGTCTCAAGCTTTATGTTGTGATCGTCAGTCACATTGACAAGATAAATGTTACAAGTGACATATTATTAATTTAAGAAGTTTATTGACACGCTGTACACACACAGACATAAATACTGTAGTTGAAATATCTAATCTACGACAAGAAATAGCCACAGCAATTCTTCTTTGCGTTCACCAGCTGTAAACTTTGGTGGAAAGTTCTGGTTGTTCGTCCGCTTCTGGACTGCAGTCCTGTTCCAGAACCTGAGTGTTACGTGTGCATCCATTTGACAGATCTGATACGTTTATGTGCAGACTTGGTTCCTTGCCTCTCAGGCAGATGCACTCCGACTTCAAAGGGAGCTTCCAATTATTCGACTCTTACAATATGCTTTTGGGTAGGCAGTGGGTCTGTTCTTGTTTTCCCTATAATAGGGCCCCGGAACCCATACGGGG